ATTATTCTAAATTGGAAATCCAAGATCTTTGTAATGAGATAACGTAAAAATGCGTATTTCTTCTACAAAGTTATTTTTCAGACTACTGAAAGTTCCTTTAGCTATTTTCTTAAAAACTGATTTCAACTCGATCATCTCACTAGGAGAACACCATAGTTCGTAGGATCCGTTTAAACGTTTTATGATATTATTCATATCGGTTTCGATACCCAGAATCCCTTGGATAATTTCTCCTTCAATTGCGTCGTGGAAATAATTGTTGTAGTCTATGAACATGTCAGAAAAGTCTATGTGGTAATTAACATGTGGGAATATCAGATTGATACGCGAAAGCGCTTCACTCATACGCGAGACCAAATCTTTGCTCATCATAATTGTATTTACGAACTGTTCCCGGAGGTATGATAACTTGCTTTTATTATATTGTTTCCATAAATGTGTCACGTAGTCGATACATCTCTTTAACGTTATAGCATAATAGCAGTTCAAAAAATAATATGTGTGCTTAACTTTTTCGTCTACATTTGCATGGTTGACTGTTTTTCCACCTGCGTCTAGCACTCATAAAGTCTGAAAAGGTAACGGTACGATCCGTTCTAATTTCTAATTTATCCATCACCGACCATCCAGGATTTCCAAGTAACTTGTTCATTATTTCTACCCGTCGTAGCAATTCTGGATCATACATTAAATCAGTGGTGTTTGAATCAAAATTATATTTGAAACCGAACCTTCCGTTAAAATATTCCATAAATTTGATTGTTTCCCTTATACTCGATATTATAAGGTCAACACCATTCCTTTCCAGATATCTTTTAACGCGTTCCGCGTGTCTGGAAATCTCGTTAGCTCCTTTTATATAACAAAAATTACCATGCAATGCATATAGTTGTTCTAGGGTAGCCGACATTTGGTTAACGACAGATGTTGACTTTGTCACTACGGTACAAATAATAGTGTCGAACCCTTCGTCAGCCAACGAGTCCCTGTCAAAATTTATGTCTCCGTAAAAATTAATTAAAGCCTCTAGAATTTCAAACAGTGGCTTTTCAAAGGAAGTTTGTGGTGATAAATCGTATAAACACAAAAGTGAACCTTGCATACACATGACTAACGGTTTTGATTCTTTGATCATATCCAGTAAATATTCCAAACATTCCAAAGCATCAGACCTAGTTGTCATTCTCTTGCACGCAGCGCCTAAACCCCTCTCGTATTCACAAAACTTTATCAACACCGTGGCAAATTTACAGCTCAAGAACTGGTTTGCTTGTATCATTTTGTGATCTACATTATCGTTGGTAACTACCTGTCCGTTATCACTAGGTACGAATAATTCACTTACATCTGTTATTTTATTGTTCATCCAGTGGTCAATTATATGTGCATAGTCATTATCTGTCCTTTTTGTATCGGGCCATTCAATCCATCCGACATGAGTAAACATATCGTTCATCACATTAACGCGATGTTCGGATTCTGCATTCAACAGATAAATTTGCATGTAAGCAATTAAAAAAACGACGAACCCAGCGACTTGCATGCTATACCGAATTTCAAATATAACAAACTAAATCAATTTTTTTTTACGCAGTTTAAAATTCGAGCAGTATAGGTTTTTTTTAACGTGAGAATATTATGAAACACTTTGTCGCCAGAAAACGGTGTGGCGTCGAAATCGTACACGGCAACGATGCGAGTGGTTGATTTACATATACTTTTTTAACATTGGCATGTGTTTTAGTAGATAGTTTAGATAGTTTGGATTGTATACAGGATGATCCATCTGATGTAAGACACTAATTTTCTTGGAAAATAAGAATATTTTGAAATTTGTTTTTTCCTGTATGAGTAAATAAGAACCGCTTGTTTAGTCAATGCGAACATAAATACGAATATTATGGGCTACTGTTTTTTTTTGACAACTAAAAAATACGAGGAAATGTATTATCGTTATAAAGCCATAGAGAGCTAATATATTGATCATAAAAATGCAAACGCTCTAATATTTTATCTTTTTTTGTCTATGTATTAATGGAATTAAAAATATATGTTCCCATTGGAAAAAACGAAATCCATGTTGTTTTATGTACAGCGGACGAAAATAAAAAATATGATTTTTAAAAGATATTTTTAAAGTATTCATATTATCCTAGAAAACGAGTGTCTTATATCAAATGAATCACCCTGTATGTTGCAAATATTTTCAATGTATTGTACCGCCGTTTGAATACTCATTTGCATTTTATTCTATAGCAAGATTGCGGCGTAGTAAATCAAAATGACAGTAAATAGTGATCGCATACTCGTTTAAATGTCCCTGCAAAAAACTTATATGGAAAAAAAAATATGAAATCGTCATTTCTTAAAAGTCAATAACGTGTGTTATTCTTCGTATGTGTTAACAAATAGAACCCGTAACTATTATACTCAAGTATTGAAAATAATGGCTTGAAACTCCTAATGGCATTTTTTAGTATTACGTGTTAAGATAAAATTTTCATAAGAATTTAGAACTACACTATACAGTATTTGTTTAAAATCATTCGAATTTTATCTGATAGGTACCGAGAATTATTTAGCAAAGAAATAGAGATCACCTTTTTTATATTAGAGTATATAAGTAATGATAAATACCTGATTTCAATATTGCAATAGGCAAAAGGCTAGTTGAAAAACATGTTTTTCTTGTACTGATGGAAAAAATATCCAACCCTGTAGTAACATCACAACAAAAATTAAAATACCATAACGTCCCCACTATCATTTCTAATATTTAAAAATGGAGAATACTGCACTGAACTGGGTAGAGATAAGATTCAAATTCTTTTATTTTAGCTTGTTTAAACAATACAAACGGTATAGCCCGAAGAATAGTCAAGGAACTAAGAGCTATCGACTGAATGGTAAAAGTTAGAAGTGTATAATTTTAGAAGTCGTGGATTATAGGCATAACGGTAAATTTACCACAACAGCTTCTTCGACGGGTAACGATTATTGCCCACGTCTCTTTGTTCATTTCTAACGAATTTGATACTAAATTCAACACAGAGTAGAAGTTCAAGAACGATTTATTTAATCAAATAGGTAGACATTTTTGTTTATTATTCAAATTTGAGATTGAGAGTTAGCCATTTGAGTTGAACCGCATCAAATAAATAACGTAATAATGTACAATATTCACCCCGCTTCTTGTTCAGATTACCTTGCCCTCTAAATATGTTTTGGCTAATCCAACCGATTCGATTTATTATTTAATTGGCTGTCAGTCTTAAAACGTCCCCAAATTAGCCTTATTTTTTATCTCGCATTTTCTATGCAAGTGTAGAGTCTCCGAAATTGCCTTATGTGAATTATATCATGCCAACACTCACTCCTAAACACATTTCTTATGTTGTTGGTTTGTTTAGAATAGACTGAGTAGGGTTAATGATTAGGAAATATAATTTTTTTCTTAAGATAAATTACAAAATTATATAAGTATAACTTTCATTTAGGGTTGTGTTATCGGATTAATTTGTAAATGTTATAAGCAGTGATAAAAAATTTAAACATATGATAAGGCTCTGTACAACTAGCAATCTGGTTTATTTTACATATACACTCGTATGTGTGCACTGAACTGAATACATGGAACGCGCATTGTGCAAGTCCATTTCACAGATAATGCTGAACTGTTAAGGAGAAATCTTAAGATAATTATGTATTAATACGAGAAAACTAGAGCTCCGTTCCCCGATCCCCACCGATTCGGACGAATAGTTCACAGATTCTGAGTGCTCTATCCAGGCTATGTCGGTCACGCACACGGCCTCTAGATAAAAAGTATTTTTGGTTATAACTCATGGACCTTTATCTAGTTATCATAATTCATACCTAGTTTCGAAAAAGTATTTTGCAAACAGCCATTTCAAAACGCCACCCTACTAAATAAAAAACATTAAAAAATGAAAATAATGAAAAGTTTGAAAAACGTGAAATAATGTATCAATTATAAAAAACTATAGTTGTAACTTTTGTACTATATATAGTTATAATATGTAATTGTAGGCAGCCGAAGAAAAAAGTTATTTGGTAGGTGTAAATTGTAAATAGTTATTTTTATTCAGTGCTTTAGATATTTTATTATTAATCATTTTTATTGAAACTAATTTTGTATTCTTAACAATCCAAAATCGCATAATCCTTGTCACACCGAGAAGCATTTTTGGATCAAAAATGCTAACGACTTTGTTCTTTAAATTTCCGCCAGAAGCTGTAACTTTAGAGTATAATAAAATAATAATAAATACTTTATATTTCAACATTTATAAGACGCAGTGACAGTGAACATTTTCGACAACAGAACACGTCGATTTCTCGTTCACGTTACCTATACCATACTAAACATTATTATATTGATTGAATACCATATTGTATGAAAATTAACAACACACGTGTAATTAATAATAACTATACGATTAATATGTAATAACAAACTACAGAAAGTCGTTCACAGCGGCATAACAGGTTTTGCTACGTCTAAAACGCAATACTGATATGTAGTCAAACATATATATGTAGACCAAAAACACCGAATGATACACCGTATTAGTTACATACAATTTTTGTCTAGAAAATGTACAAAAAACCTATACCTACCAATATGTATTCATTTATAAAATTCGGTAACACACTCGATTTACTATTGCTTCCTGTCTTTTAACGTACTCAACTGCCGCAATTATTTATCTCGTATTTTCACTGCAGTTGGAGAGTTTTGAAACTTTGTGCTCTTCCTCTGATCCACTCACTCCAAAACCCGAATCTTATGTTATTAGTTTGGGTAGAGTAGACTGAGTAGGGTTTATGATTAGGATACATAATTATTTTCTAGTTGTTTATTGAGAAAAATTGAATAAGAATATAAATATAATATTTATTTAGGATTTTGAAAATATGACGTGTATAATTTTTTAATTAAAATAAATAATATAACAAGTTTTTAGGACTATTGTTAAATATTAATATTAATACAATTATTGATTATCTGTAAAATTATGATCTAAAAATACTTATTGACAAGTTTAAAAACAACTACCTAGAAGATATTAGACAAATATATTTGCAGTAAGGGTATAAAATATATTGATTTCAGACAAATAAAAACCTGTGCTTAATGCAATTCAGTTAGAAATAAATTGAATGAGTGTTATAGTTTTCCCATAGATATTAAATCTTAAAAAAATAAATTATAACGATTTTATATATTTAATGGAATATTTTTTTTTCAATGGAGATTTTTCTAAAATGGAAATCCAAGATGTTCGTAATTAGACAGCACAAAATTGGCAATTTCATCTAAAAATTTGTTTTTCAGACTGCTGAATGTTAATTTAGCGCTCTCCTTCAAAAACTTGTTCTTATTGAACATACGATCAGGAAAACACTTTTTGTTAAATGGTTTTTCTAATCGTTGTACGATATTCCACATGTCGTTTTCGATATTTAGATTCCCTTGGATAATTTCGTTTTCAATGGTGTCGTGGAAATAATTTTTGAAGTCTAATAATATGTTAGAAAAGTCTATGCTATAGGTGATATGCGGGCCTAACTGAAAGATACGCGAAAGTGCTTCTAGCATGTTTGAGACCAAAGGTTTGCTTATCATGACTGTATCCACAAACTGTGTTCGGAGGTCCGATGAATCGGGCAAATGCTTGCTTTTATTATACTGTTTCCATAAGAGTATTACGTAGTCGATACATCTCTCTAACGTTATAGCATAATAGCAGTTCAAAAAATGATGCGTCTGCTGAACTTTTTCGTCAGCATTTGCTTTGGTAACAAGGTTTCCGTCGGCGCTAGCTGTAATAAACTCCAGGAAGGTTATGTAACCATTGGGCGTTATAATTTCTAATCTTTCTAACGCCGTCCACCCAGGTTTTTCAAGTAGCTTGTTCATTATTTCTATTCGTTGCAACAAGTTTGGATCGTACATTAAAATAGTCTTTTTTGAATCAAAATTATATTTAAAACCGAACCTCCCGTTAAAAGATTCCATAAACGGGTTGATTGTTTGCTGTATATGCGTTCTTAGGTTTGTCATTATTCCTACGGGATCATAACTATTGAGATATGTTTGAACGAGTTTCTGATGTCTGGATAACTTGTCATGTCCTATTATCCAACAAAAATGATCATAGAATGCATTTAATAATTCCAAGGTTTCCGATATTTGTTTTTCAACAGATGCAGTCATCGCTGCCACAGTATAGGTAATAGTGTCATTCCCTCCGGAAATGATCGAGTCCTCATCGAACTGTATGTTTCCGTAATAATCGATTAAATTTTCTAGGATTTCGAACAGTTGCTTTTCAAAAGGGGTTTGTGGTGATAAATCGTATAAACACATAAGTGAACCTCGCATACACATGACTAACGGTTCCGATTTTTCGAGCATTTCCATTAATTTTTTCAGACAATACAACGATTCAGACGTATTTTTCATTCTCATACACGCAGGGCCTATACCCCTCTCGTATTCACAAAACTTTATCAACACCGTGGCATACTTACAGCTTAAGAATTGGTGTGCTTGTATCATTTTGTGATCTACATTATCGTTAGTAACTATCGGTCCGTCATCACTGGGTCCGAGTAATTCACTTACATCTGTTATTTTATTTTCCATCCAGTGGTCGATTATGAACACATAGTCTATTTCTGCTTTTCTTTTATCGGGCCATTCAATCCATCCGACATGAGTAAACATATCGTTCATCACACTAACGCGATGTTCGGGTTCTGCATTCAACGGATAAATTTGCATGTAAGTCATTAAAAAAACGAGAAACCCAGCGACTTGCATTTTTATCGAATATGAAGTATAACAAACTGAATCAATTTTTTTTTTTGCAATATAAAACTTAAAAAAATTCATCAATAAACGTTTTTATTACACGAGAATATATGAAACACTATGTCGTCAGAAAACGGTGTGGTGTCGAAATCGTACACGGCAACGATGCGAGTGGTTGATTTACATATACTTTTTTAACATTGGCATGTGTTTTAGTAGAACGTTTAGACAGTTTGGATTGTATACCGGATGATCCATTTGATGTAAGACACTAATTTTCTTGGAAAATAAGAATATTTTGAAATTTGTTTTTCACATATGCGTAGATACATATTTTCCTGCCAATTCTCGAAATGTTTTTACTTTCATCTCTTGTACGTAAATGTTTATAACTCCATAAGCATATAATCAACAATTTTTAAAACAATTTAGCGTTTGAATTTTTATTTTTGATTAATTTATTCGTTTGTTATGACTTTGTTAAAATATTACATAGGCCTCTATTTTTTTGGTGTTTTTAGGTATTTGTATAGGTAGATAAGAACCGCTTGTACTTAGACAATGCGAACATAAATACGAGTATATGGATTGTTTCTTAAGCCAACTGAAAAAATACGATGAAATGTTTACAAAACTATAGAAATAACAAATTGATCATAACAGTTCAAACGCTAAAATCTTTTAATTCTTTTTGTCTACATATTTATGGAATTAAAAACATATGTTCCCTCTGGGAAAAAATGATCAAGGTATTGATAAATATATTAAAAAATATACCTTCATGTATATGAAAAAATTAATTCATAAAATATCTAACTTTTTGAGAAAACTAGTGTCCTAAATCAGATGAATCACCCTGTATGCTATTTTTTTAAAAATTTATTGTACTACCACCTTTTGATACAGTATATTAAAACGAATTTAGTACGTTTTATTACTCAGATTGCGGCGCAATAAATCGAAAAGACGGTATGTCCGGGGACTCATTTTAATGTCTCGGCACAAAAATATGAAATCGTCATGTGTTAAAAGTCAAAATCGTATGTTAGTACTTGTATAGAATATACGTCGTATATGTAACAAATAGAAAAAATATAACACGTATGCTTAGTATACAAATATTGAAAATAATGCATAGGGACTCCTAAACGGCATTTTTTCATTTGTACTAGATAAAAATTTCATACGAATTTGGAACTAAAGGTTAACGATGTAACAAAAATAAAAAAAAACAGACAGTTTAAACAAAAAACGGTGTAAATGGACACTATCTAAAACTAGTACAGCATTAACATGCACAGTAAAAATCAGTTCATTAGGATGTACGAAAAAAAGGTTAAAATCAATTATTAAATCGGAAAATGATTTGATTGCAATAAAACGCTTCGATAAGAATCGGTGGATAGTAAGAAACCAGCACAGTAAAAAAACTAGCTAAGGAAAATAGTGTAATAGAACACATTGATTTCGAGTATATACCTGTATAGTATTTTTTTTATACAAAGTACGTTTTAGTACACATTTTTATTATATTCTGTAGAAATATTGCACCGCTAAAATTCGAAAAGACGGTAAATAGTATTCAGATACTTTATTAAATATCGCAGCGAAAAAAAAAACGGTGCAAAATAAAATCGACATTTCTTATAAGAAAACAACATGTGGTTTTATCTATGTACAATATACTTCGTACATGTTAACAAATAATAAACGAACACGTACCCAAAGTATACCAAACAATTTTTTTGAAAAAAATGGCTACTAACTCCTAAACGGGATTTTACAGTACTATGTGTTAAGGTAAAATGTCCATACAAATTTAGAACTTATTCTACATAAAAAATAATATCAAAATATTCATATTTTCCCAGCAAATAAGTGTCTTGCAACAAATGGATCATCCTGTATATTAAGCTAATGATTAATTTTAAAAAAAGTACCTTTTCTATTAGCTTTAAAATTAGTACATCGAGTAAATTTTTGTAATGAAATTACAAGTTTTCGAATTTGGTATAAACTAAACACAATTCTAATAGTATTTTAATGACTCGGCATTTTTTTGTAAACTATACATTTACAAAAAAATGCCTTGTTGTTTAGAAGTTCGCTTTTAGTTTAGTTTAGTTTTTATAAGGACAAGAGCCCCATTAATTTTTCTTAATTTTGAATGCATTTTATAGGTTCTCGTACATTCAAATCATATAATGTGGTATGGCTTTTTTACAACTTTTAGGCAATATGAGTATAATATCAGCTGCTGTTTTATTTTTCAAACCGATAAATTTGTACAATTGTGCGTTAAGTATAAAAACAATTTTTGTTTTGATATTTGAACAATACGTCTGTTTACTATTTCTTTACTTATTTTCTGAGTCTATAGATATTTAAGACGCCCTTGTTTTGAATTCTAGACAAATTCTGTTTAAAATTATTATACCATCGTTTATTTAGCGTTGTGTTATCAGATTAACTTGTAATTGTTATAAGCAGTGATAACAGATTTAAACATATGATAAGGCTCTGTAACACCTAGCAATCTAGTTTATTTTACATACATACTCGTATGTGTGCACTGAACTTAATACATGGAACGCAAATTTTGCATAATCCATTTCACAGATAATGCTGAATTGTTAAGAAGAACTCTAAAGATAATTATATATTTATGCAAGAAACTAGGGCTCCGTCTTATGTTATTAGTTTAGCTAGAGTAGACTGAGTAGGGTTTATGATTAGGATACATAATTATTTTCTAGTTTTTTCTTGAGATAAATTGAATAATAATATAAATATAATATTTATTTAGGATTTTGAAAATATGTCGTGTATAATTTTTTAATTTAAATAAATAATATAACAAGTTTTTGGGACTATTGTTAAAATATTAATATTGTTACAATTGTTGATTATCTGTAAAATTATGATCTAAAAATACTTATTGACAATATTAAAAACAATTCCTTAAAAGATATATAGAAAAATATATTTGCAGTGAGGGTATAAAATATATTGATTTCAGACAAATAAAAACCTGTGCTTAATGCAATTCAGTTAGAATTAAATAGAATGACTATTATAGTTTTTCCATAGATATTAAATCTTTAAATAATAAATTACAAATATTATATACTTAATGCAATATTTGTTTTTCAATGGAGATTTTTCTAAAATGGAAATCCAAGATGTTCGTAATTAGACAGCATAAAATTGCGCAATTTCATCTAAAAATTTGTTTTTCAGACTGCTGAATGTTAATTTAGCGCTCTCCTTCAAAAACTTGTTCTTATTGAACATACGATCAGGAAAACACTTTTTCTTAAAGGGTTTTTCTAATCGTTGTACGATATTCCACATGTCGTTTTCGATACTCAGATTCCCTTGGATAATTTCGTTTTCAATGGTGTGGTGGAAATAATTGTTGTAGTCTAATAATATGTTAGAAAAGTCTATGCTATAGTTTATATGCGGGCCTAACTGAAAGATACGCGAAAGTGCTTCTAGCATGTTTGAGACCAAAGGTTTGCTCATCATGACTGTATCCACAAACTGTGTTCGGAGGTCCGATGAATCGGGCAAATGCTTGCTTTTATTATACTGTTTCCACAAGAGTATCACGTAGTCGATACATCTCTTTAACGTTATAGCATAATAGCAGTTCAAAAAATGATGCGTGTGCTGAACTTTTTCGTCTACATTTGCTTTGGTAACAAGGTTTCCGTCGGCGCTAGCTGTAATAAACTCCGAGAAGGTTATGTAACCATTCGGCGTTATAATTTCTAATCTTTCTAACGCCGTCCACCCAGGTTTTTCAAGTAGCTTGTTCATTATTTTTATTCGTTGCAACAAGTTTGGATCATACATTAAATCAGTGGTGTTTGAATCAAAATTATATTTGAAACCGAACCTTCCGTTAAAATATTCCATAAACTTGATTGTTTCCTTTATACTCGATATTATAAGGTCAACACCATTCCTTTCCAGATATCTTTTAACGCGTTCCGCATGTCTGGAAATCTCGTTAGCTCCTTTTATATAACAAAAATTACCATGCAATGCATATAGTTGTTCTAGGGTAGCCGACATTTGGTTAACGACAGATGTTGACTTTGTCACTACGGTATAAATAATAGTGTCGAACCCTTCGTCAGCCAACGAGTACCCTGTCAAAATTTATGTCTCCGTAAAAATTAATTAAAGCCTCTAGAATTTCAAACAGTGGCTTTTCAAAGGAAGTTTGTGGTGATAAATCGTATAAACACAAAAGTGAACCTTGCATACACATGACTAACGGTTTTGATTCTTTGATCATATCCAGTAAATATTCCAAACATTCCAAAGCATCAGACCTAGTTGTCATTCTCTTGCACGCAGCGCCTAAACCCCTCTCGTATTCACAAAACTTTATCAACACCGTGGCAAATTTACAGCTCAAGAACTGGTTTGCTTGTATCATTTTATGATCTACATTGTCGTTAGTAACTACCTGTCCGTTATCACTAGGTACGAATAATTCACTTACATCTGTTATTTTATTGTTCATCCAGTGGTCAATTATATGTGCATAGTCATTATCTGTCCTTTTTGTATCGGGCCATTCAATCCATCCGACATGAGTAAACATATCGTTCATCACATTAACGCGATGTTCGGGTTCTGCATTCAACAGATAAATTTGCATGTAAGCAATTAAAAAAACGACGAACCCAGCGACTTGCATGCTATACCGAATTTCAAATATAACAAACTAAATCAATTTTTTTTTACGCAGTTTAAAATTCGAGCAGTATAGGTTTTTTTTAACGTGAGAATATTATGAAACACTTTGTCGCCAGAAAACGGTGTGGCGTCGAAATCGTACACGGCAACGATGCGAGTGGTTTATTTACATATACTTTTTTAACATTGGCATGTGTTTTAGTAGATAGTTTAGATAGTTTGGATTGTATACAGGATGATCCATCTGATGTAAGACACTAATTTTCTTGGAAAATAAGAATATTTTGAAATTTGTTTTTTCCTGTATGAGTAAATAAGAACCGCTTGTTTAGTCAATGCGAACATAAATACGAATATTATGGGCTACTGTTTTTTTTTGACAACTAAAAAATACGAGGAAATGTATTATCGTTATAAAGCCATAGAGAGCTAATATATTGATCATAAAAATGCAAACGCTATAATATTTTATCTTTTTTTGTCTATGTATTAATGGAATTAAAAATATATGTTCCCATTGGAAAAAACGAAATCCATGTTGTTTTATGTACAGCGGACGAAAATAAAAAATATGATTTTTAAAAGATATTTTTAAAGTATTCATATTATCCTAGAAAACGAGTGTCTTATATCAAATGAATCACCCTGTATGTTGCAAATATTTTCAATGTATTGTACCGCCGTTTGAATACTCATTTGTATTTTATTCTATAGCAAGATTGCGGCGTAGTAAATCAAAATGACAGTAAATAGTGATCGCATACTCGTTTAAATGTCCCTGCAAAAAACTTATATGGAAAAAAAAATATGAAATCGTCATTTCTTAAAAGTCAATAACGTGTGTTATTCTTCGTATGTGTTAACAAATAGAACCCGTAACCATTATACTCAAGTATTGAAAATAATGGCTTGAAACTCCTAATGGCATTTTTTAGTATTACGTGTTAAGATAAAATTTTCATAAGAATTTAGAACTACACTATACAGTATTTGTTTAAAATCATTCGAATTTTATCTGATAGGTACCGAGAATTATTTAGCAAAGAAATAGAGATCACCTTTTTTATATTAGAGTATATAAGTAATGATAAATACCTGATTTCAATATTGCAATAGGCAAAAGGCTAGTTGAAAAACATGTTTTTCTTGTACTGATGGAAAAAATATCCAACCCTGTAGTAACATCACAACAAAAATTAAAATACCATAACGTCCCCACTATCATTTCTAATATTTAAAAATGGAGAATACTGCACTGAACTGGGTAGAGATAAGATTCAAATTCTTTTATTTTAGCTTGTTTAAACAATACAAACGGTATAGCCCGTCGAATAGTCAAGGAACTAAGAGCTATCGATTGAATGGTAAAAGTTAGAAGTGTATAATTTTAGAAGTCGTGGATTATAGGCATAACGGTAAATTTACCACAACAGCTTCTTCGACGGGTAACGATTATTGCCCACGTCTCTTTGTTCATTTCTAACGAATTTGATACTAAAATCAACACAGAGTAGAAGTTCAAGAACGATTTATTTAATCAAATAGGTAGACATTTTTGTTTATTATTCAAATTTGAGATTGAGAGTTAGCCATTTGAGTTGAACCGCATCAAATAAATAACGTAATAATGTACAATATTCACCCCGCTTCTTGTTCAGATTACCTTGCCCTCTAAATATGTTTTGGCTAATCCAACCGATTCGATTTATTATTTAATTGGCTGTCAGTCTTAAAACGTCCTCAAATTAGCCTTATTTTTTATCTCGCATTTTCTATGCAAGTGTAGAGTCTCCGAAATTGCCTTATGTGAATTATATCATGCCAACACTCACTCCTAAACACATTTCTTATGTTGTTGGTTTGGTTAGAGTAGACTGAGTAGGGTTAATGATTAGGAAATATAATTTTTTTCTTAAGATAAATTACAAAATTATATAAGTATAACTTTTATTTAGGGTTGTGTTATCAGATTAATTTGTAAATGTTATAAGCAGTGATAAAAAATTTAAACATATGATAAGGCTCTGTACAACTAGCAATCTGGTTTATTTTACATATACACTCGTATGTGTGCACTGAACTGAATACATGGAACGCGCATTGTGCAAGTCCATTTCACAGATAATGCTGAACTGTTAAGGAGAAATCTTAAGATAATTATATATTAATACGAGAAAACTAGAGCTCCGTTCCCCGATCCCCACCGATTCGGACGAATAGTTCACAGATTCTGAGTGCTCTATCCAGGCTATGTCGGTCACGCACACGGCCTCTAGTTAAAAAGTATTTTTGGTTATAACTCATGGACCTTTATCTAGTTATCATAATTCATACCTAGTTTCGAAAAAGTATTTTGCAAGCAGCCATTTCAAAACGCCACCCTACTAAATAAAAAACATTAAAAAATGAAAATAATGACAAGTTTGAAAAACGTGAAATAATGTATCAATTATAAAAAAACTATAGTTGTAACTTTTGTACTATATATAGTTATAATATGTAATTGTAGGCAGCCGAAGAAAAAAGTTATTTGGTAGGTGTAAATTGTAAATAGTTATTTTTATTCAGTGCTTTAGATATTTTATTATTAATCATTTTTATTGAAACTAATTTTGTATTCTTAACAATCCAAAATCGCATAATCCTTGTCACACCGAGAAGCATTTTTGGATCAAAAATGCTAACGACTTTGTTCTTTAAATTTCCGCCAGAAGCTGTAACTTTAGAGTATAATAAAATAATAATAAATACTTTATATTTCAACATTTATAAGACGCAGTGACAGTGAACATTTTCGACAACAGAACACGTCGATTTCTCGTTCACGTTACCTATACCATACTAAACATTATTATATTGATTGAATACCATATTGTATGAAAATTAACAACACACGTGTAATTAATAATAACTATACGATTAATATGTAATAACAAACTACAGAAAGTCGTTCACAGCGGCATAACAGGTTTTGCTACGTCTAAAACGCAATACTGATATGTAGTCAAACATATATATGTAGACCAAAAACACCGAATGATACACCGTATTAGTTACATACAATTTTTTCTAGAAAATGTACAAAAAACCTATACCTACCAATATGTATTCATTTATAAAATTCGGTAACACACTCGATTTACTATTGCTTCCTGTCTTTTAACGTACTCAACTGCCGCAATTATTTATCTCGTATTTTCACTGCAGTTGGAGAGTTTTTGAAACTTTGTGCTCTTCCTCTGATCCACTCACTCCAAAACCCGAATCTTATGTTATTAGTTTGGGTAGAGTAGACTGAGTAGGGTTTATGATTAGGATACATAATTATTTTCTAGTTGTTTATTGAGAAAAATTGAATAAGAATATAAATATAATATTTATTTAGGATTTTGAAAATATGACGTGTATAATTTTTTAATTTAAATAAATAATATAACAAGTTTTTGGGACTATTGTTAAATATTAATATTAATACAATTATTGATTATCTGTAAAATTATGATCTAAAAATACTTATTGACAAGTTTAAAAACAACTACCTAGAAGATATTAGACAAATATATTTGCAGTAAGGGTATAAAATATATTGATTTCAGACAAATAAAAACCTGTGCTTAATGCAATTCAGTTAGAAATAAATTGAATGACTGTTATAGTTTTCCCATAGATATTAAATCTTTAAAAAATAAATTATAACGATTTTATATATTTAATGGAATATTTTTTTTTCAATGGAGATTTTTCTAAAATGGAAATCCAAGATGTTCGTAATTAGACAGCACAAAATTGGCAATTTCATCTAAAAATTTGTTTTTCAGACTGCTGAATGTTAATTTAGCGCTCTCCTTCAAAAACTTGTTCTTATTGAACATACGATCAGGAAAACACTTTTTGTTAAAGGGTTTTTCTAATCGTTGTACGATATTCCACATGTCGTTTTCGATATTTAGATTCCCTTGGATAATTTCGTTTTCAATGGTGTCGTGGAAATAATTGTTGTAGTCTAATAATATGTTAGAAAAGTCTATGCTATAGGTGATATGCGGGCCTAACTGAAAGATACGCGAAAGTGCTTCTAGCATGTTTGAGACCAAAGGTTTGCTTATCATGACTGTATCCACAAACTGTGTTCGGAGGTCCGATGAATCGGGCAAATGCTTGCTTTTATTATACTGTTTCCATAAGAGTATTACGTAGTCGATACATCTCTTTAACGTTATAGCATAATAGCAGTTCAAAAAATGATGCGTCTGCTGAACTTTTTCGTCAGCATTTGCTTTGGTAACAAGGTTTCCGTCGGCGCTAGCTGTAATAAACTCCAGGAAGGTTATGTAACCATTGGGCGTTATAATTTCTAATCTTTCTAACGCCGTCCACCCAGGTTTTTCAAGTAGCTTGTTCATTATTTCTATTCGTTGCAACAAGTTTGGATCGTACATTAAAATAGTCTTTTTTGAATCAAAATTATATTTAAAACCGAACCTCCCGTTAAAAGATTCCATAAACGGGTTGATTGTTTGCTGTATATGCGTTCTTAGGTTTGTCATTATTCCTACGGGATCATAACTATTGAGATATGTTTGAACGAGTTTCTGATGTCTGGATAACTTGTCATGTCCTATTATCCAACAAAAATGATCATAGAATGCATTTAATAATTCCAAGGTTTCCGATATTTGTTTTTCAACAGATGCAGTCATCGCTGCCACAGTATAGGTAATAGTGTCATTCCCTCCGGCAATGATCGAGTCCTCGTCGAACTGTATGTTTCCGTAATAATCGATTAAATTTTCTAGGATTTCGAACAGTTGCTTTTCAAAAGGGGTTTGTGGTGATAAATCGTATAAACACATAAGTGAACCTCGCATACACATGACTAACGGTTCCGATTTTTCGAGCATTTCCATTAATTTTTTCAGACAATACAACGATTCAGACGTATTTTTCATTCTCATACACGCAGGGCCTATACCCCTCTCGTATTCACAAAACTTTATCAACACCGTGGCATACTTACAGCTTAAGAATTGGTGTGCTTGTATCATTTTGTGATCTACATTATCGTTAGTAACTATCGGTCCGTCATCACTGGGTCCGAGTAATTCACTTACATCTGTTATTTTATTTTCCATCCAGTGGTCGATTATGAACACATAGTCTATTTCTGCTTTTCTTTTATCGGGCCATTCAATCCATCCGACATGAGTAAACATATCGTTCATCACACTAACGCGATGTTCGGGTTCTGCATTCAACGGATAAATTTGCATGTAAGTCATTAAAAAAACGAGAAACCCAGCGACTTGCATTTTTATCGAATATGAAGTATAACAAACTGAATCAATTTTTTTTTTTGCAATATAAAACTCAAAAAAATTCATCAATAAACGTTTTTATTACACGAGAATATATGAAACACTATGTCGTCAGAAAACGGTGTGGTGTCGAAATCGTACACGGCAACGATGCGAGTGGTTGATTTACATATACTTTTTTAACATTGGCATGTGTTTTAGTAGAACGTTTAGACAGTTTGGATTGTATACCGGATGATCCATCTGATGTAAGACACTAATTTTCTTGGAAAATAAGAATATTTTGAAATTTGTTTTTCACATACGCGTAGATACATATTTTCCTGCCAATTCTCGAAATGTTTTTACTTTCATCTCTTGTACGTAAATGTTTATAACTCCATAAGCATGTAATCAACAATTTTTAAAACAATTTAGCGTTTGAATTTTTATTTTTGATTAATTTATTCGTTTGTTATGACTTTGTTAAAATATTACATAGGCCTCTATTTTTTTGGTGTTTTTAGGTATTTGTATAGGTAGATAAGAACCGCTTGTACTTAGACAATGCGAACATAAATACGAGTATATGGATTGTTTCTTAAGCCAACTGAAAAAATACGATGAAATGTTTACAAAACTATAGAAATAACAAATTGATCATAACAGTTCAAACGCTAAAATCTTTTAATTCTTTTTGTCTACATATTTATGGAATTAAAAACATATGTTCCCTCTGGGAAAAAATGATCAAGGTATTGATAAATATATTAAAAAATATACCTTCATGTATATGAAAAAATTAATTCATAAAATATCTAACTTTTTGAGAAAACTAGTGTCCTAAATCAGATGAATCACCCTGTATGCTATTTTTTTTTAAATTTATTGTACTACCACCTTTTGATACAGTATATTAAAACGAATTTAGTACGTTTTATTACTCAGATTGCGGCGCAATAAATCGAAAAGACGGTATGTCCGGGGACTCATTTTAATGTCTCGGCACAAAAATATGAAATCGTCATGTGTTAAAAGTCAAAATCGTATGTTAGTACTTATATAGAATATACGTCGTATATGTAACAAATAAAAAAAATATAACACGTATGCTTAGTATACAAATATTGAAAATAATGCATAGGGACTCCTAAACGGCATTTTTTCATTTGTACTAGATAAAAATTTCATACGAATTTGGAACTAAAGGTTAACGATGTAACAAAAATAAAAAAAAACAGACAGTTTAAACAAAAAACGGTGTAAATGGACACTATCTAAAACTAGTACAGCATTAACATGCACAGTAAAAATCAGTTCATTAGGATGTAAGAAAAAAAGGTTAGAATCAATTATTAAATCGGAAAATGATTTGATTGCAATAAAACGCTTCGATAAGAATCGGTGGATAGTAAGAAACCAGCACAGTAAAAAAACTAGCTAAGGAAAATAGTGTAATAGAACACATTGATTTCGAGTATATACCTGTATAGTATTTTTTTTATACAAAGTACGTTTTAGTACACATTTTTATTATATTCTGTAGAAATATTGCACCGCTAAAATTCGAAAAGACGGTAAATAGTATTCAGATACTTTATTAAATATCGCAGCGAAAAAAAAAACGGTGCAAAATAAAATCGACATTTCTTATAAGAAAACAACATGTGGTTTTATCTATGTACAATATACTTCGTATATGTTAACAAATAATAAACGAACACGTACCCAAAGTATACCAAACAATTTTTTTGAAAAAAATGGCTACTAACTCCTAAACGGGATTTTACAGTACTATGTGTTAAGGTAAAATGTCCATACAAATTTGGAACTTATTCTACATAAAAAATAATATCAAAATATTCATATTTTCCCAGCAAATAAGTGTCTTGCAACAAATGGATCATCCTGTATATTAAGCTAATGATTAATTTTAAAAAAAGTACCTTTTCTATTAGCTTTAAAATTAGTACATCGAGTAAATTTTTGTAATGAAATTACAAGTTTTCGAATTTGGTATAAACTAAACACAATTCTAATAGTATTTTAATGACTCGGCATTTTTTTGTAAACTATACATTTACAAAAAAATGCCTTGTTGTTTAGAAGTTCGCTTTTAGTTTAGTTTAGTTTTTATAAGGACAAGAGCCCCATTAATTTTTCTTAATTTTGAATGCATTTTATAGGTTCTCGTACATTCAAATCATATAATGTGGTATGGCTTTTTTACAACTTTTAGGCAATACGAGTATAATATCAGCTGCTGTTTTATTTTTCAAACCGATAAATTTGTACAATTGTGCGTTAAGTATAAAAACAATTTTTGTTTTGATATTTGAACAATACGTCTGTTTACTATTTCTTTACTTATTTTCTGAGTCTATAGATATTTAAGACGCCCTTGTTTTGAATTCTAGACAAATTCTGTTTAAAATTATTATACCATCGTTTATTTAGCGTTGTGTTATCAGATTAACTTGTAATTGTTATAAGCAGTGATAACAGATTTAAACATATGATAAGGCTCTGTAACACCTAGCAATCTAGTTTATTTTACATACATACTCGTATGTGTGCACTGAACTGAATACATGGAACGCAAATTTTGCATAATCCATTTCACAGATAATGCTGAATTGTTAAGAAGAACTCTAAAGATAATTATATATTTATGCAAGAAACTAGGGCTCCGTCTTATGTTATTAGTTTAGCTAGAGTAGACTGAGTAGGGTTTATGATTAGGATACATAATTATTTTCTAGTTTTTTCTTGAGATAAATTAAAAAATAATATAAATATAATATTTATTTAGGATTTTGAAAATACGTCGTGTATAATTTTTTAATTTTAATAAATAATATAACAAGCCTTTGGGACTATTGTTAAAATATTAATATTGTTACAATTGTTGATAATCTGTAAAATTATGATCTAAAATACTTATTGACAATATTAAAAACAATTCCTTAAAAATTTATAGAAAAATATATTTGCAGTGAGAGTATAAAATATATTGATTTCAGACAAATAAAAACCTGTGCTTAATGCAATTCAGTTAGAATTAAACAGAATGACTATTACAGTTTTTCCATAGATATTAAATCTTTAAATAATAAATTACAAATATTATATACTTAATGCAATATTTGTTTTTCAATAGAGATTTTTATAAAATGGAAATCCAAGATGTTCGTAATTAGACATCATAAATTTGCCCAGTTTATCTAAAAATTTGTTTTTCAGACTGCTGAATGTTAATTTAGCGCTCTCCTTCAAAAACTGGTTCTTATTGAACATACGGTCAGAAAAACACTTTTTCTTAAAGGGTTTTTCTAATCGTTGTACGATATTCCACATGTCGTTTTCGATACTCAGATTCCCTTGGATAATTTCGTTTTCAATGGTGTGGTGGAAATAATTGTTGTAGTCTAATAATATGTTAGAAAAGTCTATGCTATAGTTTATATGCGGGCCTAACTGAAAGATACGCGAAAGTGCTTCTAGCATGTTTGAGACCAAAGGTTTGCTTATCATGACTGTATCCACAAACTGTGTTCGGAGGTCCGATGAATCGGGCAAATGCTTGCTTTTATTATACTGTTTCCACAAGAGTATCACGTAGTCGATACATCTCTTTAACGTTATAGCATAATAGCAGTTCAAAAAATGATGCGTCTGCTGAATTTTTTCGTCAGCATTTGCTTTGGTAACAAGGTTTCCGTCAGCGCCAGCTGTAATAAATTTCGAGAAGGTTATGTAACCATTCGGCGTTATAATTTCTAATCTTTCTAACGCCGTCCACCCAGGTTTTTCAAGTAGCTTGTTCATTATTTCTACTCGTTGTAACAAGTCTGGATTATACATTAAAATAGTCTTTTTGAATCAAAATTATATTTGAAACCGAACCTTCCGTTAAAAGATTCCATAAACGAGTTGATTGTTGCCTTTATATGCGTTATTATGAAGGTCATCACTTCGTTGGGATCTTCAACGTTTTTTAGTATTCTTTGAACACGATTCTTACGTCCGGAAGCCTCGTCAGCTTTTTGTAGCATAGCCGATTTCCTACAAAAATTGTCATGCAATGCACTTATTTGTTGTAAGGTATCCAACATTTGATTTTCAACAGATGCAGTCTTTGTCGCTACTGTTGAGATAATACTGTCGTACGTAGCCGGAGGGGCAGTGATCGAGTACCCGTCAAAATGTATGCTTCCGTAATAATTGATTAAAGCCTCTAGGATTTCGAACAGTTGCATTTTGAAGGGAGTTTGTGGTGATAAATCGTATAAACACATAAGTGAACCTCGCATACACGTGACTAACGGTTTGGATTTTTCTAGCATTTCCAGAAAATATTCTAAACAATCCACAGATTCAGACGTATCTGTCATTCTCCTGCACGCAGAACCTAGACCCCTCTCGTATTCACAGAATTTCATCAACACCGTGGCAAACTTACAGTTCAAGAACTGGTGTGCTTGTATCATTTTATGGTCTACATTGTCGTTAGTAACAATCGGTCTGTCGTTACTAGGTTCGAGTAATTCGCTTACATCGGTTATTTTATTGTCCACGCAGTAGTCAGTTATGTACCTATAGTCAGAATCTGATCCATTTGTACCGGGCCATTCAATCCATCCGACATGAGTAAACATAACGTTCATCACATTAACGCGATGCTCGGGCTCTGCGTTCAACAGAAAAATTTGCATGTAAATAATTAAAAAAACGACGAACCCAGCGACTTGCATTTTATACCGAACTTCAAATATAACAAACTGAATCAATTTTTTTTCACGCAGTTTAAAACTCAAACAGTATAGGGTTTTTAACGCGAGAATATATGAAATACTGTGTTCGCCAAAAAACGCTTTCTTGTCAAAAGTATACACTGCTATACACTAGCGATGCGATTTACATTGCGGCGCAGAAATTCGAAAAGACGGTAAATAGTGTTCAGATACTCGATTAAATATCACAGCAAAAAAAAAGGAATAACAAGAAGGTATATATTTTTTATCGAATTGTTTGTCATGACGTTCATGACAAATCGACAACAGCACAACAACAGTATGTGGTTTTTGTTTTTTTGCCTGTATGAAAATATTAAACGTTGAATAACACCTAAGAAAACCATTGTTACCTTTCATAC